AAAACGTTTCTAAATTACTGTTCAACCTAGTAGATCGTTTATTTGCGTTTGGAACGGTATGATGTAATTTATGAAAAAATTTAGTTACCTATACGTTTGTCTTCACAAGTTTGGTCTTCCGATTCCGAATCACTACAACTACTACAACAACTAATACTAACTCTCTCTCCATTACAGTTATGAATATAATTAAAGGTGGAATCCATGATCCATTAGCACATACACATTCTAAAAGTGTATGTATTTCTCCACGATCAGCATAAGTTATTTTATAAACATAACGTTTACCTATAGCATTTACTGCTTTACCACATAAGATTGTCCAGTTTCATCACAATTCCAAAGACGGTCATATGCCCTATAAGCAGCAAGATTTTCAGGAACTGTAAGTGTAAGACTATACCTCTTTTTGAAATTCACCCTACTTGCTAGCAGATTCATTATCTTCATTGAAATAAGATCCACGTCCAGCTGCAGTGGCTAATTGGTGTGCTATTTTTCTTACCTGTAACACAGTCAACCCCAAGCCAAATCCTTGCATCTTTATGATATAGTTTAATATTTGTTATTCAAGGTCTGATGTAAGTGCATATGGTCTTCCCATTTTTGGAACTAATTCAACATCATCACGTTCCTAAAAATCTTTAAGTGAACTCCATGGAACTCCATTGATTTTTGCTGCTTTGTAAATGGACATGTTTTGTTCATTGACCATTTTAGCTGCAGCTCTTAATTCAAAATTGGCATATTTCCGGTATGAGCCTTTTTTTGGCATTATACTTTAAGATCTAAATACCACAAAATATTTTTTAAATAATTAATAAAGTATATGTATATAATAAAATAGGAAACATTTTAGAAACATATTATCTTCATTTAACTATATAAGTATATAGCACTTAAAACAATTTTTAATGTCATTATATTTAATAAAAGAAACATGATTAAAAATGTAAATTCATTTGAGGTGAAAACCTTAAGAAAATGTGTATCTGCGATAAGGAATCATTAGTTACAGCAAGTCAATAAAAAACAAAAGTTGTACCATTAATTCAAGCATGTTTTCTAGTTTGATATTTATTAAAAATAATACACTTACCTAAAACACAATTATGGAAATAAAACAATTGGACAAGTACTCCAAAACAAATGTGCTGAACGTATGTAAAATAATGATAAAGAATGTACAAACTACTAGTAAAAAATTTACGTATCACACGCACCCAACGACTGTCTCTTTGTCAACGACAGTGTATCCAGGGTACCATTTGACGCAATTTCGGTATGTTCGTTACAAATGCTGAACGAAATTACATATATCACGAAAATACCTTCCTTTACCCTACATCGCATTAAATCGTCATTTAATTTAGTCAACTTAGGCAATAAATTTAAGAGAAAAAATATTGAACCATTTTCTTTTTCGGTATCAATGGACAATGCCAATTTAGGGTCCATCAACTTAGTAGCTCATTATTTTTGAAAAATCCGCCTGTATATACCGATAATGATTTGAAAATATATAAATCGGTATTAATTCAAACATCAGCACATTTAACCGCAAACGGATCAACTATTAAAAAGACGGGTAATAAATATTCTAATATTATTAGTAAATTATTCCCCTCAGGCGGTGGACTGTCTATGAAATTGCAGAAAAATAACTTAGTGTATTGGGACGATCCAAACGAGTTAGTCGATCGATTACGTTTACTTATCGCGTCCAAAGCAGCCGGTAATACAAGTGTTTCAAACGAAATAATATCGATTTTTGAGGAATTACGTGAGGCTGGACTAATAAAACGAATTCCAAATGTCTAAACGTGAAATCGCTTTAGAACTTCACAAGCCAGCGAGGAAAAATTTCGTTAGACGTRGAGTTAACGTGTATGGAAAAAATGATTTATGGCAAGCTGACTTGGTTGAAATGATTCCATATTCCAATAAAAATAAAAATAACAAGTAMATTTTGACCGTAATAGACTGTTTTACGAAGCGTGCCTGGGCATCGCCATTAAAGTCCAAAACTGGGAAAGAAGTCACTAGCGCAATGTCTAAAATATTWCTTGAAGGCTCACCAAAACTTTTACAAGTSGATARCGGAAAAKAATTTTATAACACCACTTTCGACGCATTAATGACCGAGTATAACATATTCAAATATTCGACTTTTAGCAYCAYGAAAGCTYGTATTGTAGAAAGGTTTAATAGGACATTAAAGGAAAAAATGTTCAGAGAGTTCACAGCACGCGGCTCGCACGAGTGGATTTCGATTTTACCAATGTTGCTTGACGAATACAACAGTTCGCGACATAGGACTATAGGAATGACACCAATGCAAGCAGATGCCAACCCCABGTCAGTGAAAATAAAACACCGTGAAATAAATAATGTAAAAATTAAATTCAAAGTTGGCGATAACGTTCGTATCAGTACACAAAAAGGCGTGTTTACAAAAGGTTATCTGGCAAACTGGTCTACGGAAATATTCGAGATCATCAAAATAAATAAAACATTACCCGTTACTTATCAATTACAATATTATATGGGCAAACCTATTGCAGGTTGTTTTTATTCTGAAGAAATATTCAAAACTAAACTTCCAAACGAATATTTAATCGAAAAATAATACGTAAGAAGGGGAAGCAAGTATTTGTCAAGTGGTTAGGATTTGATAATACACACAATAGTTGGATAAATACGTGTGATGTAAAAAAATAGAGTCAGTCGTACTTTAACTATGAACGTGTTTGGTAGCTCACAAGCCAGTGATACTAAAAATATTATTACAAATATCGAACAGTYTTTTAAAACATATACACATAAATTTGATAAAATCGAACATTTGCTCGAAGAAAACAACAGATCTATCTATGCGCAGGAAGAACAAACAAAAAGCTTACTATTAAAGTGTGTAAATATAGCAGAATGTTTAAGTAAAATTGAAACTTCATTACAAATTATCAGAGAAAATACTGACGGGTTGAAMAAATTATTTCCTACTATACTTAGTGCACTATTTACTATTGATACTYATTATAAAAATAAGACATAATGTCTTCGGGCATCTTGGACGTTCAATGCATTCTTGGAGCAAACAATAAGTATCTTATTAAAGAAATGTCTATAGTCGACACAGAAACATGGGCAGTACAACATTCGATTTTTAAAAATTCAAAATCTATGCAGGGCAACAAGAGTCGAAAAACTAACAAATGGCTGGAACGTCATTATCATAAACTAACTATAGATTATGGTGATGATGATGTTGAGTATGAGGAGCTAAGTAGAATATTGAACTCATTAAAGTTCACCTGCATATACGTTAAAGGTGAACAGAAAAAACAAATTATCATTGGATTTATACCTCATGTCACACTCATCAACATTGAAGACCTCAGGTGTCCACGCTTGGAGCAAATATGTGATGAAGAAACTCTACCATGCTGTATTTTTCATATGGAATTTAATCCAAAACAATGTACATTCTATAAAGTATTTGTTATAAGGAAATGGTTTATAAATAATTCTTAAAAATGTATGCACTTTTTATATAATAAAAATAATTATATTTTAACATTGTTTTTTTATTTATTTACATGCTAAAATACATTTATATGTCAGCATTTACAAGGTTAATTAAATATGTATGGGCTTATATCTATCTGAAACAGAAAAAAACATGATGAATTAATACAATATATCTTAAAAATATAACAATTACATCTAAACATTGCATTTACATGAATATTTACAAAGTATACAAATAGTATAAAAATAATACAAGCTATATAATAATCTATCTTATATAACAATTACATTTACAAAGTATTTACATAAATAAATTAGTCGAGTAATATTTACAAGTTAACAGAATATACAATAATAAAAAATATATACAAAGTATTTACAATTTATATATAAAATTATTTAGACATATGACAAAGAAGTTCTCTCATCAGATCTTTTTCTTCATCGTTCCATTTTCGTCCTTCTGCATCTACCTCATCATCAAGCTCCGGCCAATCAAGTTCATCTTCCCTATAAAATTATAAATATTAGTAAAATATTAAAAATATATTTATGATTGTAATAACTTACTCTATACTGTAGTGACCATGGGCTAATGTGCTTATTTTATCTTCTAATACTATCCTCTTTTCGTCATAGCTGTTGTACGTCAATTTCCTAGTTTTTATTGTCATAATCTGGTGCTTGAATGACCGTATCGACACATTATCTTTATACAACTCCAGTCAAACTTCTCCAAACAAACACTTCTTGTGGTCCTCTACCGTCATATGGTTTTTAATCACATGAGCTCTGATACCCTTTGCCTTGATTTTTTCCACTCCAACTCTGTCCTCCGGTCCAGTATACACGTTGAAAGCGTACGACTTGGCTCTCAACGCACAAAACTCTGTAATAATATTGGAGTCAACTTCATCAGAAAAGAGTCCCGGTTCCTTCTTTCTCTCTGCTATGTAACACTGGCATGGTCACTAGGCAGGTTAGCAGTGTCCATCCGGTCCAACAAGTTATGGTTGGCAGCCAAGTCTGCATAAAAGTCCTTAGTACTAATATGATATATCAACGAATCTGTAAAAATAATGATATTAAATTAATATATTATATACATGAAATTAGTTTAAGTAAATTTACCTGTATTAGTATACATAAGTTTGATTCTGTCCCCATAGTGGCGCTGCATCACATTATAATGATAGTCATACATCATTGTTTTTGATATGTCCAGTACTGCAAATCCTATTAACATGGTTTAAAAATGTTTATTAAAATATAATAAAATAAACTGAGTTGTACATGAGTAAAATACTTACCAATATAGATTGGTTTAAAGAAATCTATGATTTTATTCTCCAATGTTACAGCAGTTATATTTTTATGTTCATAATTGGTACAGTATTTAAATGTTGATTTGTTCATTAATTTCTGCAATCGCTGTTCGTTCGAAACAAGTTCCATTTTAATCCTAGATCTCATCGATTCCATAATTTTTCCTAGAAAGTTAAGAGAAAATTATAGTAAAAATGTTTTAAYAGTATAATAATTAGTATAAAGTAACATACCAAATACACTATTGTTCATCAGTTTGTAGAAATCAATTTCAAACTGGTTCATCGCCTTCTTCCTCATCTCAGAATTTAAATTAATATATTTAGCCAACCATTTAGACTGTTTGAACTGCAATACTCTGTGAACCTAAAACAAAATTAGTGTTAATATATATTTTATATTTATATAATCAATATATTTACCTTTTTCACTTTCAAACCATTTGCCATCGCCTGTTTCAAATKACGGTAGTGTACAATATACCGTTCTTTAGATTCTAGTGTTGCCATGAGTTTCCTTATTTTAGATTCAGGTGGTATATCGCTGTTCAGCAAGAATGGTAGATCGTTGTGCTCATCATGTAGGTGTTGTGGATACTCTATATCGACCTCATACATCCGTCCTATCTCAGATGTATCGTTTAAATTTTCTAATCCATCAAGTGTAGGTTCTACCCATTCAAAGCCACCATATGGCATGCACTCGGCCATTGCTTAGCCATACAAGTTATTACCTTCAAAAATAAAAATAATTAATACATTTATCGAGTTTTGAGAAAAAAATAAAAAATAAAAAAAAAATATATATAATATGTATATATGACGTATATACTTACAGTCTTGATAAATTATCCAAGAGTCTGGTTTATTCACATCATATTCAGGTGTTTTCCGATTATTCGCCTTACCATAACKCATGCTCGCTTGTGTAAGACCCCCGCGTATACCTAAAGCAAAATCGATAATTTATTGATAATTGCAATGTTTTATTTTTATTTTATTTTTAAAAATCCTTACCTTTTTCACACATCAATAACATGTCATAATCGGCCAAAATTTGAAGTTTTATGGAGGTGAATTTCAAGCACGCATTGAAGCTTAATCCAGGAGCCGTGTAATAAAAAGCCGCATCAAGTCTATACGTTGACAGACAAATATCTCTAAAGTTTTCGAATATATCCGCCAGCAGTAATACATCTATTTTCAAATATAGATCGCTATATTCTCCCAGCGTTTTGCAGTTGAAATGGTTCCATACTGTGACTGCGTGTTCGTATTCCTTTTCTTTAATATTTTCCTCGGTTAGCGTGCTGTAGAATRACTCTTTTGGTGGTAGTGATGCTTCATTCAATTTCCTCCAAAAATCTGTATACTCGTACGGGTACACCCCCTTCCGCGTCGCTAGAGCCATATCATCACGGGAAAAATGTTTTGAAGTTTCTCTAAACTTGTCTAATCCAGGTGTCATTAAATTTTTCGAGAGAGAGGATAAGCTTGAAGCCATGAATCTAAAAGTGTCTATAAATCKAAGGGTAAATTTGTTTGAAATATATTTACTAAATGAGATAAATTTCTCCTCGCTGTTAGGAATCAGTGTTGTACTGCGTTCATCATATCCCAGCTCCACGGTAATGAAGTGTGCGTCATAATTACTTAAATTGTGTAGGAAACAAGGTACAAAATTTGGTGTTTGTAATGTTAGGTTACATCTGTTGCAAATAGTTTGACGATACTGACCGGATAAGTGACAGTGGTCTCGTACTTTTCTATTTAATATTGTATACTCTTTTTTACACAAATCGCATGCTGTACTCCTATTATACTCGTTTTGTTGTTCCTCACTCATTATTATAATTTTTCTGGATAAATCTACAACTGTCTCAACAAAATGTTTTGCCACCTCCGTATGCGTCTCTGAACCTCGATGAATAATTACTGATGTAGGTATGCTATGTTTTTCAAGCAGTTCGCGAGGTACATTTTCCGCCGCTTTCACATATACACCGTAGCTCATAGGTTTATGCCTATGTATTACTGTCGTGCTTTTTCCCTTCTTTTCATCCGTCTTCATCAGGATTGCTTCAAAATCCGCGTAAATTACTATGGGATGACGTTGTGTCTTACCCCAACCTTCAAACTCCAAAATACTCCTCTCTGCCGGCATCACTGGTAATATTGGTTTGTGTTCACCGCATATCTTCTTATGCTGATCCAAAGCCTCCTGTCCACTCAACTTTTATTTATGACTCCTGTCATCATAACTAGTAAAACATCTTTTACAAAATACTAATCTCTCGGTATGTGCAGTTTTCTATTTACGTATAAGTCTTGAAAAATTCGAAATGTAGGTATAATGCGAGTTGTCACCGTCCGTTACCAACAACAGATCGAAATGGTCCGGTTTCTCTTCATTCACCACACGCAACGGGTAGACCTCATAGGTTGGATATTTTCTAGGAGGTTGAAACTTTTTTTCTAAGCCGTAAAAGTTAGGATTATTTTTTTCAAATTTCGATATATCCGATATAGGCGTTGGGAACGAAATGCCATCGAAGTTATATTTGTTCTCGTGTTGAGTATAATTTTGCCCRACACGATATAACGGTGGTCCTGTCACATGTCTCACTAGTATTGCCCACTTAAAACATTCTTGATCACTGTTTTGGGGGTTTATTGTAGCCCGCTTTCTGTCAATAAATTCCCGCAATTGTATATATGATGACTCGCCCATGGGTATATATTTATATACCCCCACCAACAGCCCGTCTATGGACTCCATAGTAAGTCCACTACCACGGGATTTATACTCTTCCGCCTCGGTCATTARCTTCATATCTTATATCTAAATATCTGTGTGCGTGTGCGTGTGTATGTGTACAAAATCTTATCGTTAATAATAATTATTATAATCGATTTATGATATATTTTACATTTAAAAAAAGATATGATGGCTTAAGCGCAAATCATTACATCCATCCTAGCCTTTTTGTGATGCGTCCTCGCATCAAAAGTTAAGGATATCATATAATTTCTAAACCATAAAAGCATGAAAGTTAAACAATGAAAATTATAAAATTAGATACATAATGTTTTTTTTTTTTTTTGTTAAACATATTTGGGAAAAGATATAAATTAAGATGAAATAATTCTAAAAATTACAATATAAGTTATATAATGAAATATTTACAAATGTGTATATGTTTTCAAAATGATAATGAATATGCAACATTACTAGGAATTTATTACATTTTTTTTTTTTTTTTAAATCATTCGGTTGAGACTTGAGTTGATTATATTTCTTGGCATTTATATGGATTACGCATATGACTGTGTAATTGGAGTTCAAACGTTTCAACTTGTTCATATAGATAATTTTCTGATGTTTGAGTATATAGTTTTTTTGTTTTGAATTTGTGATTGATTTATTGATTTTGCCTTGTGAATTGTGATTTTGATTTAAAATTAATAGTGGTTGATCTTGTTGTTTATGCTGTTTTTGTTGTTGTTCTTCTTCTTTCCTTGCGTTGTGCATAATGAAGTGAGTGACGCTTGTAAATATTCCTGCTATTAGTTTTATGCTTAAACCGAATGTTTTATATAAAAGAGAAATGTTAATTCTTGTGTTAATGCAGTTTAGAATTATTTTCCATATAAAAAATATTCCTAGTAGACCGGATATAAATTCGCCAAAAACGGTAAACCAGCCCCACATTTTTTTTAGTTTATTGTCTACCATATTGCTAATGGTATTTTTGTAAATTAATGAATTATGATTTAATCTGTGATCCATTATCGTAAAACCCATGGTTTGTTTTGCTAAATTTTTTTGAGAAGCTTCTATTTCTTGGGGTAGTACTAGATATTGTTGAAATTGTTTCATGGTGTCATAATTATAAATTCCTGCAGTCATTAAATGTTCAATGCTTTTATATGTCCATGTCCATTTTGTAGAGGGTTTAAGAGATTGTGGTCTTTTTATTTCTCTAATATTTTGTGACGAGGTATTCTCCGTCAAGTAAAAATGCCGATGGTAATATATGATTACAATCTAATGGTGGCTACACATGATCAGTTTTAACTGACAGTTGAAACTGTTCAGTAAAAATTGTCAGTTAAAACTGACGTCCCTTGTGTACACACACGTTCATTTTTAACTGAAAATAAACATCATTTTTTCATTTGCTTGTGTTGTGTAGTTGTGATTACAAGATGTCATCTGATGATGATGTTTTAGCCGTGTTTTCACTATTATTAATTTTGAAAAATAAAAAAACAAAACAAAATAAACGTAAAGAGTGGTGCAAAGAGTGGTTGAAAAAAGGAATGTTTATTCTCATGTAAATTTATTAACAGAACTAAAATTTGTTCCAAAGGATTGGCACAACTATCTCAGAATGAGTGAAGAAACCTATCTCAATCTACTCTCTCTAGTAGCTCCACTCATTAGAAAAAATGATACGGTTATGAGAAAAGCCATTTCGCCAGAGAGAGAAATTAACAGCGACGTTACGATTTCTAGCAACTGGCAGTAGCTACGAGGATTTGAAATTTTCTACTATTATTTCACCTCAAGCTCTCAGCAGCATAATCCCGGAAACATGTGAAGCCATATATTCCAAAATATATATATATATATTTCCAAAAAATATTTAAAGGTAATAAAAACTTTGAACATTTGTAATGCATATTTTTATTATGATTAAACTTAAATATATACTTATAGGTACATTATATATACTTTTTAAATAAATTACTAATTAAATTGTATAGGGTCTTCAGCTTTCAGATTATTATCTTACTTCATAGAATCATCTTGCCCAAACTGAGATAAATATAATGCTTCAGTAGTTGTATTTTGTGCTTCACAAGTTCTGGGTACTTCTTTCATTGTTAGTTTTACAGATAATGCATTATTTTCTGAATTGTATGGTTGAAATACAGTTTCTGACGCTTCAGTGTTTGAATTTAAATAATTTATATGTGAGAGTGTGGCATATTGTTGTTGCATTGGTGCTTGGTTAGCCATAGTTATGGGTGGAGGTTTATTATATGAAGGGTTCGATATTTTGCGGCCTCTAGTGTTTATATGTTGTGAAGTTATAGGTATTTCAGTCATTGAAAGTTGTCCAGGTGTTACATTGTTTTCTAAATTGTATGGTTGAAATATGGTTTCTGACGCTTCAGTGTTAGAATTTAAATAATTTATATGTGAGAGTGTGGCATATTGTTGTTGCATTGGTGCTCGGTTAGCCATAGTTAAGGGTTGAGGTTCATTATTCAAAGGATCCGATATTTTGTGGCCTATAGTCAGTGTATCCATTTCAGCTAAGAATAGTGCTTCGTTGATAATGTTTTCGGCTAAAATACGCTGTTCTCTTGTCAGATCACGCAACTTCATTGCCACATTTTTCCCAAAAATATCGAAACGATCGTCGGGCTGTATAGGACGTTTGAAATGATCATTGACACTTAATAGAACTTCGTTTGTTAAATTTGGATCAACTGCATTAGAATTTCTTTTTTTTGGTCTCGAACGTTGAGCTGTAGTCGATGATGATGTGATGATGATGTTGCTACATTTGGTTCATAAGATCCAATTTGACTTAAATTACAATCACCTGTCAGTGATGAACCTGGTCTAGAGTCATTCTGTAACAATAATACACACACAATTAAATGTTAATACATACCTATATTTTATTTTCAGTTTCCAAAAACAGAACAAGATTGGAAAAATATAGCTCAACATTTTGAAAAAAGATGGAACTTTCCTCATTGCTTAGGAGCCATTGATGGAAAGCACATTTCAATTGCTCTACCACCTGGTTGTGGATCAGAGTTTTATAATTATAAAAACCGACATAGCATGGTTTTATTGGCTATTGTGGATGCCCAATATAAGTTTATTTTATGTGATTTTGGTACTAATGGGAGGATTTCAGATGGTGGTGTATTATGAAATACTGTATTTTTCGATAAACTCGAACACAATAAATTAAACATCCCGGCCGACGAAATTGTCAGAAATAGCAACAAAAGTTTACCTTATGTATTTGTAGCTGATGATGCATTTCCTCTAAGAACTGATATGATTAAACCATTCAGACAAGCAGACCTAAATACTTATGAGAAAAAAATATACAATTATCGAGTATCAAGAGCAAGAAGGATTGTAGAGAATGCATTTGGTATTTTAGCGTCTCGATTCCGGATATTCCATACAGACATAAATATTGATTTAAAAAATATTGAATCTGTTGTTATGGCAAGCTGTGCTTTACACAATTACTTGACTGAAAGAAATCAAGCTTCTTACAGTCCTCCTGAAACTCATGATACGGAAATGTTTGATGATGGAACAATTATACTGGGTTCAACTTCGACAGGTTCATACATGATAGATTTAGATAGAAGACAACAAGGAAATGTAACAAATGCAGCAAAGAGAATAAGGTGAAAGTTTTATGGACTATTTTGTGAATGAAGGACAAGTTCCATGGCAGTGTAACTTTGTTAGTTAATTTTTTTATATAACACTATATACTAATATACTATATATTAATATAAATTATGTAATAATTTTATGTATACATATATTTATTAAGTTATTAAATTATACAATAACCATTTATTTAAAAATGTATAAATACAAAATACAAACCAAAACAATAGATGGATAAAGATTTATTTATGTTAGTATTATCATGTAACTTCCAACAGCTTACTGCTTTACTTAAMACATCACCAGATAGGACATAGGTATTAGAGTATTTATATTTATATTTTTTTAATATCAATAAACTATAAAATTATTTACTCACGTCTTCGATTATTGTTTCTTCATCATCCCCACTTATATCGACTGGTATAAGGCAAAAGGGGCCAAGCGACATTTTTACAACTTTTCAGGAGAGCAAAAACAAAATTTTCATGTGTTCTCAACTTTGGCGTTGGGGCTTYGGTGTTTAATTAAGCTCCARGAATGAGGTTAATGTAAATTTGTATTTCATTTTATGTTACCTTGATGGCTTGATATTAGTTATACTGAAATGTCTCGTTAATTTTTATACACAATGGATTTTGTTAAAATTTACCATTTTTTGGCGCTTAGCTCTTATTTTTTTGTTTTTTCATATATGATAAAGGGCGCTTGTACCCTTATTTAAATATTATGCTAAAAAGTAAAAATATTTTTATTTTGAATA